CATTTGCCAAACTCTGCAGAACCTGGATGTAGATGACCTGCAATTACAGCACTGGGAAGAAACCTTGCTCAGCATGGATGTTGATGAGCCAGTGGCCCAGGACTTCCATAAGTATCTGGGTGATGAGGTGGCATCCTATGTGGAGGAGATGCTGTATAAGAAGGATAATGGAAAGAATATGGACTTCCCACAGTGCAGTGCGACTGCTTCATCTCAGGCCATTATTCAGCAAATTCCGCTGCAACAAATTCAACAAAGTTCTCAGCTAAGCACACTTCAGACTCCGCTCAGAAGTAATGTGAAATGCAGTGAGCAAAACACTCCTCCAGGGTATCTCCAGCACTGCTGGGGGACTGAACCATCAATTTCTGCCTTACCTGTATTCCAGAATCCAATGCAGTTCTTACCACAAAACACACTGGGCTCCGACCCTCAGGTTCCTGTAGTTGCTGCTACACCCAAAAATTTATTTTCTAGGCCAAAAAAACAAACACCATTTGACCAACCAGATTTGCTCAGAGGGAATATTTCTGACCCCTTGGGTTCCATTACCCAGCCAACTGTTGGAGTTAATGAAATAAATCCTGTACAGGTATTTCAGCGAAAGGGTGCTGTTCCAGTTCCCTTGAAAAATCTCATTCCTAAAAATCAGATGCAGCTGGACTCCAATCTGATTGGCTCAAATCATGCCATTCCCTTAAAAGTGAACCAACAAGACAGGCAGCAGCATGACCTGCTGGTGTCAATGAACTCAGTCATTGGCTTCCATCAGGATAATTCTCCAGGAAGTCACCCTTCAGATATTTGGAAGTCCCCTGTTCAGAACCAGGTGCGAATCAACCCGGTGCAGATGGAGCCACAAGCTCTACTGGCAGACGGCCAGCAGAATGTGTTTGGATCACGAGTCACCAATCCATGGATGTCATCATCACAGACCACCCATTACACAGGTCAGGGTGTGCAGGGATTTGGTGTAACACAGCATAATGCAATATCTGCTTCTCTTCTGCAAAAATCGAGTCCAGTAGAGTCTGAGCAGTTGTATGGAAGCCATTCCTTTCCAAAACAGGCAGCTTCACACAAACCTCACCCAATACCAAACTTTTACAATAAGGAGCAACGACAGATTCTTCAGACTGAACAGTTGTTAACAGAGCAACAACAGCTATTGCAAGGAGAGCTACACCACCAGGTGCACTGCAGGCCAGCCCAGATGCAAGACAATGGATTTCCGCTGATTAGCTGCTTGGAATCAAAAATCCAGTCTCACTCTCAGGTGGGAATGCAGCAAATGGACGGTGTTCTTGAAGCTTCACTGAAGTTGTCGTCAAATAGCACCTTACCTAGCAGTGTTGTGCAGTCTCCATGGGAATATGCAAGTAGTGAGCCACCCTTTGAAAATGATGCTGAATTGGCTAAAGCAGCTCATACCACATGCCTTCTGCAGCAACCAAATACTGCACCCTGCCATGCTGGAAGCAACCCAGAAGCACTGTGTTATTACCAAAGGCCTACAGAAACTGTTTTGGGTTCCTTGATAACTTCTCCCTTGGTAGTTGGTTTGAGAGCAAATTCCTACCCACGTGAACCAAATTTGCCTCCCGTGTCAATAACAGAAGGACAATTAAATGGGCAGCAGCAACTTTTCACTTGCAATATTCAGTTCAAGGTAAGGCGGGCTCATGTTAACCAGATTGTTTAAAATCAGCTGATTTTTACACCTTACCAGCAAGGTGTAAAATCAGCTTGGGCCTGAAATGGTCTAGCTGTGCATGTTCAGTACAGTAGTTACATTTTGAAAAGTAGTTGGTAATTTTGACTTTCTTGTGTTTTGGGGCATCTGATTTGAACATAGAGAGGGACCCTTGGGGCTGCCTGAAAAATCAGGATCTGTTAGGGTCTGAAAATTGCCAACCAGGATAGAACTGGTGAGGAAATTTTCAATTTACATGGTTTTTGTTGGAAAATGCAGATTCATCAAATGTACAAATTTTACATAGAAGCATACCAGCTTTGTCAAGAACATTTTCCAAGTTCCAGATAAAATTCTGGTGCAGATGATACCAAAATATGGACTCCCTTGGGAGAGTTTAAATATTTTAAATATCCCATGTTTAAATACTTTTTCTGCTTGATTCAGACCTTACTCACAAAGCCATAGGGTCACTGTTTTGATCTCTGGCCCAGTAAGTATTTGTGCAAAATGAAATTGCTTCAACAAAAAGGCTGAGAGAGACTTTTTTAAAAGTCTGTCTCTAAGTCTTACTAACTGCTAAGCAATTGACTTAGTAATTAGTGTCCTCCTGCAATGTAAGAGTCTCAAGCCCTGCTCTGGATCAGGGGGTCTCGTACGGCCCAGGTGAATGTCCTAACCTCTGAGTTATTCTAGGTGAGTCTCTCTCCCTCTCTCTCTCCCCCTTACTGTGTCTCTGGCTGCTCTGATTTCTTCTCTATTTATTTAGGACAGTACTTTCTTCTGTTTTCTCTATTGTTGTTAATGAGAATTTATCTCACTGAGGCTATTGCTGTCTTTGTTTTCATTAAGTCATCTTCTCTTGCAGATACAAATTTGGAAACATAGTTGCAACTCGTAAGGGTCTTGTTATGTCTTTGGTGTTTTAATGGTTGAGTCATTAGTTTATAGATTTAAATAGGAAATTACCACAGCTATATGCCACATTCCTGTTATACCTTTTTTACAGATGGACGCTTAGGCTCAGAGGAACTGTAAGCAATCTGCTGAAAGTCATACAAAAATGTATAGAAGAGGGAACTAAACCTAAGCATAACCTGGTATCATAGCCATAATCATCTCCTTTGCCTTTGTAGGCTGTTAAGGAGGCTAATTTTGCATCCCAGTAAAGCACAGGCATTCTGAGCCTTGCTTCTGAATTTTATGGATACAGCTACATACATTTTCTCTTCCTATTTTTGGGACCATAACTTTGTGAAATTTCATTTTGAGATGAGCTGAACAAAACAGACGCAGCCTCTAAGATTTATTTGTATGAACAATTGTGTCATCGAATTATAGACTAGCTCCACATCTCCAGGAATAATTTCTCTTCCATTCTTAGTGTAACTTAACATTTTATTCCCTGTTTGGTGGCCCTTGCATACTTTAGAGTGTGTTACTGAATTGTGAAAACACACACCGAGATTACTGACTCTCTAAAATTAATTTGGAGCCTGCCCATTTTTGTAGGTAGTTTAGTCTTCCTACTTATGTCTTATTTTATGCTCATCTGTAGTGAATTTAATCTGCCCATATAACGCTCACAGTTTTATGAGAGAAGAAACCTAACAGCTTGAACATATCCCCCATTTACACCTCTTCCACAGGAGTAAAAAATGAATGGCTATACAATGTAAAGCCATGCATTGGTATAAGTTAGTAACATCTGGTGTAGCAGTACCATGGGAAAGGCATCACTAAAAACACAGTTTGGTGTTACCTGTCTCTAGTTATCCAGGGTAGCTGACAACTCAAAGCAAGTAAGCTGTTATCTGCATCCTGCCATCTAGTGGAAAAGCACTGTAATAGTCTTGTAAAGTTGCACTTGTGGCAGATATGTTGGATAACTGATTATTGGTGTGTTCTGGATTCCAGTGAATTTAGAACCGTGTAAAAAAAACAATGAAGATTATATCTGTATTAGCATGTTGTGTGGCCAGCCCTTAATGGACTTTTTCTCCCTAATCTTGCTTAATCAGAATAAATACCTATCCACCTACTTGCTCATCTTTGTGTTTTGTCATTAATATCAACATAATTTATTGAATGCCTCCACTCCTAAGACTGATCCTTGAGTACCCTAATCAGATCATAGGAAATTAGAGCTTGAAGGGAATCTTATGAGATCATTTAGTCTAGTTCCCTGCTCAGGAAAGGATTATCTTCAGTCAAGTATCTAACCTGAAAATATCTAGGGATGGAAGTTCCGCATCTTCTCTAGGTAGCGTGTTCCAATGGCTGACCTCATAGTCACAAAGTTATTCCTAATCTCCAACCTCTGCTACAGTTTGAGGCCATTGCTTCTAGTCATGTCCACAACAGCCACAGAGGAAAGCCCATCTTCATCCTCTTTATAATCATCATTCAGGTATTTAAATATTTATCAAATCCTCCCCTCAGTCTTCTCTTCTCCAGACTAAATAACCCTAGTTCTTTCAGACTTTCCTCATATGTCATGCTTCCCAGGGCTATAATAAGAATTTATATTTGTATACTGTGTATCTGCCATTTAAACAATCATTTAACCTATGTTGTAGTTTATAGTCAAGTTTTTTTTCTCTTCACCCTAAGTTTCCTTAAATAGCCCTTAGCAAGGAACATTTCAAAAGCTTTGTAAAAGCAATGACAGTCATAGTCACTCAAGCTGAGACATGTATGTCTACATCAGTGGTTCCCAACTGGGTGCCACCAGAACCTGCCAGAGGTGCCACAATGCTGGTGCTGCTACTGCAGAGTGAAATTGCCCTGCATGGCTTGTTTTCAGGAGGTACCTTGGAGCCAAACTGAGAAGTGGCCACAGTGGAAAGGTGTGCCTACTTGCATTACGCTATGGGGGAAGGCTCATCACTGCTGCTGCAGCTCTTTCTGGTTGTGAGGTCGCTCCTGAAAACCAAGATGCGTGGGGCAGTTCTACCTGGTGGCAGTGGCACTTCTCTCCAGGTTGCCAGAGCCTTGGGTTGAAACTGCCCCTCCTACCTCAGTTTTGAGAAGGCACATCAGAACCGAACCAGAATGAGCTGCAGCAGAAGCAGTGCGCCTGCTCGCATAACGTAATGCCACTTCTGAGGCCAGCTCTGACATACCTCCCAAAAACGAAGGCACCCAGAACTGTCCTATATGCCCTGTGCACCTCTGGTTCTGGGAGACACTGGGCAGGGAAGGGCTGTGGTAAGAGCACAAACTCCTTCCACAACTGGTTCCCTTTTTGCCTCAGCAGGAGATGCACAGAGCAGTTCCACCTGGCGGAGGCAGCAGTGGCAGCGGGGTGATGGATTCAATGCCTAAGATATTAATGAAATAATTATAATGTTTATATTATAATATAGTTTCATAGGTTCATAGTTTCTAGGGTCAGAAGGGACCTGAG